TGGTAGATGTGACGATGATAGTGGTCGGGTGGCTGGGGCCTGGGAGTGCGTGGGTATAATGACAACAATAGTGGCATGGTATTTAGTGGTGGGTTAGGGTTGGGGTCGGGTGGGTTGCGAGTGAGTGGCGGTTGTGAAAGCGACAATAATGGTGAGGGGTAGGGGTTAGGTTAGGGGCGGGGTGGGGTAGTGGGGATGGGTGGCAGTTATAACGATGACAGTGGTGGGATGGTGGTCGGGTGGCTGGGAGTGGATGGGTATAACGGCGACAATAGTGGCATGGTGGTTAGTGGTGGGTTGGAGTTGGGTGGGGTGGAGTTGGGTGAGGTGGGGGTGAATGACAGCTGTGATAACGACAATAATGGTGTGGTGGTGGGGGTTAGGTTAGGGGCGTGATAATAACGGTAGTAGCATGGTCGTAGCAGGGATGTGCAGTGAGTGACCGGGGCCCGGGGGTGGGTGGGTGTGATGACAACAGTATTGGCATGGTGGTTAGTGGTGGGGTAGGGTGAGTGGCGGTGACAGTAGTGGTGTGGTGGTGGTAGTGAGGGGTTAGGGGTGGGGCATCACAAACAGTAATAGCATGGTCGTTGTGGGTGTTGATGGAATTCAATTCCTTCCATTATGCTAAGGAATGATGAATTCCTTAACTTATGGAATTCATTGGAATTTGAAGGATTCCATCCATTTCAAGAAATGAGCCAAACAAAGGAATTGGAATTTGGTCAAAGGAATTTATCATTCCAATTCCATCAAATTCATTTGAATTCCGCGAACCAAACGGCCCCTGAGATGAATACACATTGACAATGTTACATACTCATTAAATGAAATTAAAACAATGCAATTACTAGCATCTAAATCAACTAGACATGCTTTGTTTCCTCTAGCGGAAACATATGTATAAGATAGCGAAACTAGCAAACCATGTACGCTTAATCACCTAGTACACAACCTCTTTCCTCATTCTTTTAGAGGCTTCTTATCAAAGAAGTTGCATTTGTGGCATTTCTTCGAACAATTGGAGGTTATCATCAAGACATCAAGCTTTGTAATATTATGAACAATGAGAAAATAATCAAACCACAAACAACAACGAAAAAGCAGGATAGGCAAATTAGCAAATTGGAAAAGACAAAAACCTTGAATGAAATATGAAAAGGAAAAAACTTAAATCAACAATCGAGAGAAGGAATCGAGTCCGAGGGGACTAGGAAATCATAAATCATAAGTCGAGATAAACCAAGGGAAGTGGTGGATTGGATTATCGATTGATGCCCCTTGGGTTGTGAAGCGTTGTGCCATCCCCTGGGCTGCACGTGACTAGACCCTGATGGTTTTATTTCTTTTTGCAATCTTTACCAAAATATAATTAATATTTTCATAGGAAACAATTTTTAAAACCTCAATTTTATAAAATAAACTTCCAAAATAAAACCAACTTTGTTTTTATTCTTATTTTAAAAAAAAACATGAATTTCGTCGATAGGATCCTTAAAAGCATCTACAGTCATGAGACACTTAACTGTTTCCTAAGACCATCACCTCATTTTTTTCAATCCATGACAACATTCCATAAGCATCTTTATTTCATAAACATCATTCCATAATCGTGAAACTTTTGGATGACGTTTGGTTCACATAATGAAATTTATCAAAATTGTAATATGTTAAAGGAATTGGAATGCAATTTAGACATGTTTGAATTGAAATGTAATTTATCAAAAGAAATTGAATGTCTATTTGATTCGTTGAATATAATAGTGGTGGTGAGATACAGGCGATAGTGATGTCGATGGTAGTGGTGGTGGCGGTAGTGGTAGTAATGGCGATGGTGATGACTATGGTGGCAGTGGAAGTGTTGGCGACGACGATGGTGGTGGTGGTGGTGGTGGTGGTAGTGAGATAAAGGCAACAATGGGAACGACGGTGTTGGTGGCGAAGGCGGCAGTGGTGATGACCATTATAGTTGGATGAAATGAAATAGACTAAATATAAAAATATGATAGTTTTTCTTGAAAGATGGTACAAAATAATTGGATTTCCTTACTAGGAAATTACATTCCACCATATGTAAAATTCTAATTCCTTACAAAAGTTCAAAGAATAACATTTGATCAATGAAATTGAACATTCCAATTCTTTTGAATTTCATCGAATTCGGATTCCAACAAAACAAACACCAAATTAAAGTTTCATAAATAAATCTTAGTAAGCCTTTTTTAAACATAGACTGAAAATTAAAAAAAGAATTAATTTATATATTTTTTATATTATGAGATAGGGCCAACATCATATTTTGTAGAAGTACCCTTAGAACTATTCTATCTCCACCCCTCCTAAATTTCCCCCCTATTTTTTATATACCTCTTCTTACATAAAACAATAAAATATACTAAATCCAACTTTTTTATTTATCAGTTTTAACCCTTTAATATTTTTAACTATAATCCTTCAACTTTTTTAATATTTTCATATTATATTTTTTATGTTTCTAATTTTTAACCTATACTATAATTATATAAATTAATTAGTTTTATATTATTATTAATTAATAATATATTAAGAATACGTATTTTTTTAATTTTTATTTATATACAAATATATTATGATAAATTTCTAAATTTTAATCTATATTATAATCATAGAAATTAATTAATTTTATATTAATAATGATAGATTACAATATTTTAAAGATTTTGATTATTTATATAAAATTAATTATACTTTTCATGTTAAATCAACATATCCACGAGTACAAGCACGCTCTAGATGTTCTTGGTACACATTTATCTATGTTGATATAAGACAATCCATGTATTTGTATCTTGAAGTCGACAACGTGGCCAATAGTGCGTAACTGTGGGCATTGAGTATTCTTCGGTTAATACCACTTTTATGTAATCATTATCATCAACATGCACTATTGCAATTGTCACGTGTTGAGATGATGAAGGCGGTTGTGTCCTGAATAGTTAGTACGTCACACTGTCTGCAATATTGAGAACATGTTGTATGACATTTGAACCTTGAAGCGGTTAGAATGACCGTTTCAGGCATAGCAATCCATGCATAGCAGGTGCAAAGACGCCCTTCTGGAAGAAATTCATTGTTTCGTAAATTCTTATGCACTCGTTGCCAATCACATAAGAGTAATACTCTTGATGCTCAGTTGGTTCAAACATTAACTTTTTGCGAATAATGTTCCATTCATCTTCATGACCACCCAGACAAGTAGATAACACTTGAAATCTATAATTTCCATCGCCCAATACATCTTGTATCTGTGTGATGTATGGATGAAACAAACTTGAGATTTGATCAAGATATGGATGTGGGATGGTGGATTGTTGTTGGAAGTAGGAACTATGCCTCGCTGATTACTGATGCCCCAAAGCTTCTGTAACGCCCCAAATACCACATTTGCATAGAACACATATTTCATTACATAGAAACATGGATTACATCAAACGGTCCCACTAGTACAAGGATTACTATGTGTACAAAATTGACATATAAAAATTTCCAAAACAAATCCTGTACTACTACATGTAATATAACATGCATCTTCAAAAGCAGACAATAGATTTAGGAAAATAATCACATTTTCCCTTTTACATCCCCGGACCCAGCTATTCCTGCATTACATAATTTAAAACAGAAAATGAGGGTTAGACCATACGGGTCTAGTGAGGTTCCCTTCTATGAAATGCAGGGTGAAGATCACCAAAACATTTATTTCAAATCATTCATCACATGAAGCAAAACTGAAAACATACAGCTTTGGTCCATCGGGCCTCTGGTTCCAAACCACACTTAGAAAATATTTCGACACAGGACCAGAGCCCCTCTGGTCTCTCTTCCAGAGCTTCTGCTCTTCACGACCAGAGCCGCTAGTTTCACTAGCCAAACTTGGAATATAATTCGACATTCAGGACCAGAGCCCCTCTGGTCTCTCTTCCAGAGCCTCTGGTTTCAAATCATACTTAGAATATATTTCAACACAGGACCAGAGCCCCTCTGGTTCAACATTTAACCAGAGCTTCTCTGGTCTGGTTTTCATAAAAAGACTAAGTATAAAACTCCTTTTCTTAAAACTTCAAAAGCATGATTTTGACATAGAAGCTCTTATCAAAAGATACAAAACCTTTAATCCAAYTTAACATATATAGTAAAAACTTGCTCATCCTTTAAATTAACAACCAGAATCCTCTGGTCCAACGATGAGGACCAACCAGAGCCCCTCTGGTTCCTTACAAGGAACAACCAGAGCCTGTAGATTCCTCACGAAAATAACCATTCTGTTTCAAAACACTTTTAACCAATACCAATGGCCATAAGCCAAGTTTTCCCCTTCTCAATAACATCAATATCATTATTTCTAATAAGAACAATATCTTTGAGTTCTCAAGTCACAAAGAAGTAAGGACTCAAATCTATTGTAGTCTTAAAAGACATAATAGCAAGAGCTATAATATTCACATACAATTGTCACCCTTATATCCAAAGGTACACCTCTCCTTGATATGTCATCCTTATCCCAAAAGACACCTCTCATTGATATGTCACCCTTATCCCAAAAGACACCTCTCCTTGATATGCCACCCTTATTCTTCTTCAAAATCTATGAACTAGTTCGGATGAAGGACCGCAGTCACAACCATCTTATCGAATCCTCATTCATAGTTTTATCCATAAAACCCTTTTCAAACTCAGAAACAATCTTGTCTTTCAAAGATTTTCCAAAACATCAAGTTTCCTTTAAATCCTCAAAACAGTATATCATTTCCGAAACTGTTTTAAAGAAGCAATCTCTTCTTTATCTTTACCAAAATAACAATAACACCTTAAAACTATCAAAATAGTTTTAACATCCTTTCTTCAAAACCAACATCAAAACTCATAGCATATAATCAACAATAGTTATAAAACTCACAGTTTATAACTAACGGTAGTTTAAAAACTCACCTTAACAAATCACAGGTTCTGAAGATAAAAAGCACACAACAACTCACAATCTCTTCAAACAACTTTGAACAACAGATTCTTCAAGAACACTTTTCACTGCCACAAAACTTTCTTCAAATGAAATGATATGAAATGATAAGATAAAATCTTATCTTTCTATTTCTTTAAATACTCCCACCAAGGCGGTGAAGATTATTTTAACTATAAAACTCATAGGCGGTGAAAGCTTCTTYCAATAGAAATAATCTTGGGCGGTGGATAAATCATTATAAAATTCATGATTTCTTAACCATGAAGATATAATAATTTCACCCGAATACAATAAMCACCACCTCATGTATGCTTCACACCACATGCATACATGTATAAATCATATATATGTCATGCCAATATCATGTTCACATATATGGTTCATGCATTTCTACTTATATATGCATATTTCACGTAATTCACATAATAAACATGTATAAATTACCTCAACTCAGGTTGTCTCAAACCTGGTTATAACATTCTTCCCCCCTTAAATGAATTCCGTCCCGGAATTCACTTATTCAAACAACCACGGATATTGGGTTTTCATAACAGATTCTAATTCCCAAGTTGCTTCTGGTCCCTTGTTAAACTTCCACTGAACCTTTACCAGACTGATTTCTTTGTTTCTCAACACCTTGATCTTTTGATCAATTACAGCTTCGGGTGTTTCCATAAAATTCAGTTTACTGTCTAATTCAATCTCTGGCATCGGTATAGTTAGATTTGGATCAGTCAAACATTTCCGCAGATTCGAGCCATTGCGACACCCATCAAAGGGGTCGTTCCCCACCCAGGAGCTACTTTACCATATTTCGAACCACTGTCTTCGTTCCTCACCCTCCTTCCAATAAAGGATTGAGCCGAGTTTAATTGAAATTCAATTAAGAGAACGAACGTTATTTATCCAAAGTATCCATTGCCTCAAACTCAAATTCAAATTTGATCTCCTTCCATACAATCGTGTCGGGTGAGCAACAGCCGCTTCGTCACAGTACTTACTTCCTTACCATGGCAAGTCTTTGTGAAATAACTCCGATGAGAAGAAAAAAGAAGGCGTTAAGAGACCCTCACCCAGAAAGGAGGAGAGAGAGAGAGAACATAAAGGTAAAGTTTGGAAATAGAACAATTCCTTCTGTCGTGTATCCTCGATTAATGCAGCCAATATCAAAATGGAAATGTTTGAAATTGCTCCTTGACCCAAGAAAGAAGGAAAAAGTACTAACTCTTCGCCTTTCAAAATATTGCGTATATAGATAAACAACAGCAAGCCTGGGAGAAGTTCACACATGAAAAGTGTTGTAAATCAGACTCAGCTTTTCTGGTAGCTCTAATTGATATGCTACTGGCCCAATTCGTTTACATATTCTGAACGGCCCTACATACCTTGGACTGAGCCTTCCTTTCTTTCCAAATCTGATAACACCCTTCCATGGCGAAACTTTCAACATCACAAAATCACCTATATCAAATTCAATCGACTTTCGACGATTATCTGCATAACTTTTCTGGCGATCTTGTGCAGTTTTGATTCTTTAACGGATCTGTTCGATCTTTTCAGAAGTTTCTTGGACAATTTCAGAACTTGTTAGCTGTTTTTCACCCACTTCATTCCAACACAATGGTGTTCGGCATTTACGTCCATACAACACTTCATATGGTGTTGCTTGGATGCTGGAATGGTAACTATTGTTGTACGCAAACTCTATCAATGGCAAGTGATCTTCCCATGATCCCCCGAAATCAATAATACAGCTTCTCAACATATCTTCGAGAGTCTGAATAGTTCTTTTATTTTGCCTATCAGTCTGCAGATGATAGGCTGCACTTAATCGAATTTCAGACCCCAGAGTTTTCTGTAATCCTCCCAGAACTTTGAGGTAAACTGATTGTTTCTATCAGAGATAATAGACAAAGGAACACCGTGTCTAGTAACAATTTCTTTGATGTAAATATGCACTAACTTTTCTAAAGAGTAT